AAAATCAAGGTATCAAATCATTATGCATTGTGTAATTTTAAGTATAAAAATAAAGACTTGCTGATCTGGGGCAGACAGAATGAGAGCTCCATCAGCCAACTAAGCGGAGACACCTCCATTGCTTTCATGTTCGCCGATTCCGCATCTCCTCTTGTGTCTCATGACCCTGCGAGAGCTGGACTCCCGTATCCTGGCGCCCAACATGGGGCATGAGTAGGTGAGTCGCTCTGATATTTTCTTTTATTTTCTGATATTGTTTCGGCGCAGATAGGACTCCACCTTACAGGGTGCTTCAGACCCCCTGATAAGACAGATAAGGTTAGAGTTGGGTGGAAAGTTTACAGAATTGAGTAAGATAGAGAAATGGCCCATTCAGAGTCTAAAGAAAAACAGAACTTTTAAAGAGTTATGTGCCATAATGAGTCTGAGGAAAGAGGACTCATTATTGAAGTTATAAAGCAAATACAATTGAGAAGCTATGGGCCATAAAGAGTCTAAAGAGAGACGACTCTTTATAGAAATTTTAAAACAGATGCTAATAAAGAAAGGAATTAAAGTGTCTTCGCACCAACTAGCAAAGTTTTTGCAGTATGTTCAAGCATGCCGTCCCTTGTTCCCAGATGAAGGGACTGTTAATCCAGATACCTGGGAAAAGGTAGGTATAGAAATGAGAAAGTATTATAAACAACATGGGCCTGAGAGAGTTCCAGTAGAAGCCTTTTCCATGTGGAATATATTCCATGATACCCTGGACCCCCGCCCTGGAGCGGAGACCCTCTCTCAGACCCTTGATATGCTCAATAAGGAAACACCTCTGTTAACATCAAAACCGAGCATATTTTATGCTAATAAACAAGAAAACAGTGACCATTCTGAAAATAAAAGCACTCCTGATCAATTAAGCCCTGAGGATCAGGCTAAATTAGAAGAGGGAGCTGCCAAATACCACCAGAGTGATTGGCACTTTCCCTTTCATGAAAGGCCCCCTTGAATGGATACACTTCCCCATAACTCCACAAAAAGTGATGACCTCCTACCCAGCATTGGATGCAACTTTAATAATGAAAGGTAGGAGAAGAAGCTGAGAGTTATTTGGAAAAGATTTCTCTAAAATCATCAGTCCTTATACCCCAGACCAAATAACTACTCTTTTGCAGACTGGCAGATTGCCTTGGAAGGCTTTTCTGGTCAAACTCTATGCCACCTTCCCAGTAACTCCCTGCTTCAGTTTATTAATAAACATCCTGTAGTTTTCTCTTTGCAGTTTTCCAATGAGCCTCTCCCTGAACCTGCTGTTACAGTTTTCACTGACGGTCAAGCTGTGACTTTTATCGTAGAAATATCACATATATAGCAAACTATAGAAACTTTGGCACAGAAGACAAAGTTAATTGCTGTTATTTTTGCCTTTAATCATCTGTAAAAAACCCCTTTTAATCTGTTTTCTAGTTCTCATGGCCTAGATGTGTTACTAACCAAGGGGCAAAGATATGCTTGTGTCTTTCCACAGGACATTGACTCCCCCATCTGGATACCAGACCGACTAATTCGACCCTATGTCGAGAAGATGGCCACTTCTCCCTCCCCGGAGCATGGAAGCATTCAATGAGGATCCAACTGAAGTCATGTCTCCATCAGCACCTCCACTGACCTCTCCTCTACCACGGGCTCCAACAGCTCAACTTTTGATCTCTCCCCTCCAACGTTTGTCTCTGCAAGATCAAGCAGGTCAGCAACCCACTAGTCAGTGATGACTGGCTGCTTCAAGTAGACAAGGACCAACCCCCACCAAGGGGCAAATGAAGTGCTTAATGTAGTGCGCTGTGAGAATTGTCAACTCTCAGGGAGCTGAGGCGACTCCAGAGATTATCTTTGTTGCTATGCTTGCAGTTCTTGCTTGTCAGGTATCTGTTGTGACAGCTAACAACTTCACTCATTGGGCTTCTCTTCCTGACCTCCCATTTCTACACCCTACACCATGGGATTTGGCAGATGTCCCAATTTTTGTAAATAATTCCCAATTGTTGGGTGGTCAATCAGAAGCCTTTGTGCAGCCAATAATCAATTATAATTTTTCATACAAAGGTCTTAGTAACTCTCCCCCCATTTGCCTAATGGTTGATAATTCCTCCATGATTACTGGATGCTTACCTATTGGTTATAGAACCTTCCTTACTGATTCTCACAGTCCTGAGTCTTCTAAACAAGATTTATGGGCCACCTCTCTATGCATCCCCATGATTTACAATAATACCTTTTTGATTATTCACTCTCACCCTCCCACTACTCTCCCTTTATTTCCATTGCTTCCTAAAGTAGAATCTAGTTGGGAATTTGTGAACTGGGATGTTGGATACCCTTATTGGCATAACTGTGCATTATTTAATGAAGCAGTTAAGTATCCCTTGTTAAACCTTTCTTCCTTTTATTATATATATGACTGGTCCATATCTGCTCCTAAATCTGATTATCGAACATATGTTCGATATTCTTCTAGCTTTAATTGGAGTAAGGTCCCTTTTCCTATGCCAGAACCTATATATAGTTGGTATACACCAGGTTGGGTTTCTGTCATGGCCATATGTCTCTTTTGGACCATATGGCCCCATTACCCAAAGTACCTAAAGTAAACTCTGGCAATTGATTGCTGCCACAGGCCCTGTTTTCCTTCATCGCCCCATTAATTATGCACTTGAAACACATTCCATTAATGCCTGTGTGCAGGCTCCCTATGCTATATTGTCACAAGGTCCAAAAGGAAATGTTCATATATCTGTTAACAGTGATGGTTTATTTGAAGTTAATTGTATATCCTATATACTGTCTAATTGTATTTCATCATCAGATGATGTCAAGATTTTGTTATTAGTTCAACAAACTCCCTATATTATGATACCTGCTCATACTGATGGACCTTGGTATGATGATCCAGGTTTACAAGCTCTAAAATTTATTGATCAATCTCTGGCTAGAAAGAAACGTTTTATTGCTGCACTTATTTTAGGTATAACAGCCTTAATTACTATAATAGGATCTGTTGCTGCATCAGCAGCTGCCCTAGTTCAAGAAATTCATACTGCAAAACATGTAGATCATTTGTCAAGAAATGTGTCCCTGGCCCTGATGGCACAGGAACGAATTGACAGGAACCTAGAAGCTAAAGTGAACTCTTTAGAGGAGGCAGTGTTGTATATAGGAAATTAAATTCAAGCCATCAAAGTTTGCCTAACTACACGGTGTCATATAGATTATAAATGGATGTATGTCATCCCTTTACCTTACAATGACAATGAAGTCCCTTGGTTTAAAGTCCAGCAGCAATTATGAGGCATTTGGAATAATAGTGACAGTTCCATTGATTTAATAACTTTGCATAAAAAGATTAGTGATATTAGTCATTCAGATAGTGCTTTACTTCCTACTACTGAAGTAGCCAATTCTTTTTTGGAAAAGGTTGTTTCTTTTGTGTCTTTTAAAGCATTTTTTCCTTTATCATTAATATAGGTATTAGTATAGTAATTATTGTCGTTCTTGCTTTTCTTTTCCCAGTTACCATCCGATTGATTGGCAGGGGGATTCAAGCCACCCAAGTGGAAATCAGAGCGTTGTATCTAAAAAATAAAACAGGGGGAGATGCTGGAAGCCATTCCGCTTCTGCCGTTTGACACAGTCCCGGCAAAAGGAGAAACATCATGCACAGACATGATTCTCTGGAGGGGCATCCTCTATCTTCCCTTTAGGATAACTCTGAATTCACTTGTAAAAATATATGATATTGCCATATTCACGGCTTTTACTATGAGCTCTGCAGACCTTAGGAAGAAACCGGTCTGGCAACAATTGTTTCAGCTTCATTGGGTTAGATTCAAAGAGGATTGTATGAGCTACTCCCTTTCACAGAAAACCTGAGTACAAAGCAGCTGCATTTATGAGATCACAAAAGCAAATAACAAACTAAAGTAAAGCTG